AACTTCACGATTTCATTGGCAGGGAAGTCTGAAGGAGAAGAGGAGGAGGAGGAGGAGGAGATGAAGAGTTCATTCTGCCGGTAAACAGCTGAAATATCGTCTTCTCTCCGGCGTCACACGGCTGCTTTGAATGAACGTGAATATGACTTTACTACCAAAGGACGGGATGTAAAATAAAATAAAGCTTCATTTGATCACTTGTTTCCTTTGCTTAAGGAGATAAGGAAGCATGGAGGGACCTTACCGTCTCCTTTGACGAAGAGGATGGTGGTGTCTGCGTTGGGGGACGCCTTCACCTCTCCGACCGACGCCTCCTCCTCTTCCTCTTTTTCTTCCGTCTGTAAACAAACAAGTTTGTTTCAGCAGCAGCTTCGTCTTCATCATCAACATCTTCATCATCATCTTCATCAACGTGCTTCATCAGCTTCACAAATGTAACGAGCTGCCAGGAACAAGAAGAAGGAAAGAAGCTGAGGAGTGAGAATGACTCTCAGCGCCAGAGGAGTGAGATATCTAATCCGTCACCAGCTCCACGTTCTCGTCGTCCTCCACTTCCGCCTCGTCGTCCTCGTCTTCGTCCGCGGCCTCCGTCTCCTCGTCCTCCATCAGGTCCTGGGCGCCCGTCCCTGAAGGAGCGACGCTGCATTAAAGGAACCTCCGTGGAGACGCATCACGCAGGAGGGGGTTTGAATCTCTGGAGTGGGGATGGGGAGATTCACCGGTTCGATGCGTCGGCGTAAAAGCTCACGATGCGTCGGCCCGGATCAACAAAGTGTGCACCGGATACCTTGTGGGATGAATCGTGCATCGTTTCTAACATTTTTGCATCGGTATAATCCGATGTATTTATACAGAATCGTGTGGAGGCGAACACCATTTAATATTTAGAAATGCGTCCAATGATTTGTGACCAATCGTTTCATACTTGGATAGACGCCTCCTCTCTGTTTCTAAGCGCGCTCGTCTCCTCTGCTGTCAGTGGGCGATTCTCGTGAAGTCTGGAGTTGGAGGAGAGCGCGTGGGAGAGCGTTACCATGGCGGATGGAGAGGTAGACGTCCCGAAAACTTGCAATGAATCCAAGGTTTGGCAACACTTTGGATTTCCAAAGAAAGACGGGAAAGTGGATAAAATAAAATACGTCGCGCTGCCATAAAGTACAGCTGATTTAGGGACGCACCTGAAGAGGCGACGCGCTGAGACGTCTGCCTCCTCCTCAGATTCAGGTGTGGCTACAGTGGCGAGCTCTACCAGTACACCTGCCGAGCACACTGAGAAACGTATCGCCACTTTCTTTCATGCCGCTGGCTACCGACTCAGCTCGATCACAGGCAATAAGCGCAGCCATTGCCTTATTTATCTGTAAAGATATACAGCCTCACAGTGCTGGTGAAAACGAGGGCTTCCAATACCTCCTCAACATACTGGAGCCGAGGTTCCACATTCCAGGTAGAAACAAATCCCTCGTCTGTACGAGAAAGTAAAACGAGAGATGAAGCGTTGAGTTGCAATAACAGCTGATGGTTGGACGTCTTGCGCCACTGACTCGCACGTCACCGAGCACGTTTCATTTGTGTGAAGATGTGAAGATGTTTCCCGTGGATTAAGTTTGATGACGGTTGTTCCATTCGTGAGTAGTTTGGAATAAATGGTCGACAGTATGAGCACATGCCCAAAGGACGTCAGCTGTTTTTTGGTGTTGGGTTTCGGTATTGATACGATCGCGTGTCACTTCCCTGTTTTGGAGAGGCAGCAGTAGTCGTCCCTTCACACGTGAGCTCTCCATCATCTGTTTTCTCTCCATCATTCACATCCCGTTTCCCATTGTGCCAGACGTGTCTGGGTTTCCTCCATTATTTCCAGGTCTTTCACTTTGACCTTATTACCACTTTTAAATCCTTTAACCTTCCAAATCCCCTCTTAACGTTTTAAGTTTGGCGGCACTCAACGAGCCGTTTCCTGGAAACCCAAACTCTTTTGTCCAGTATGGGCGACACTTTGTACGTGTTCTCCCGTATTTCTGCTGCATCATTGCCACAATCGGACCCGACGGTTCCGTGTGTTTGGCGGACTGGCCACCCATCTTTGACTGGTGGACCCTACCGGTTTACTTATTACAATACAGCCGTCAGCGTGAGGCGGAGTTTCTTTACTCAAGGAAAAACTTTGCAAAAACTCACGCTTGGATTTTGCCACGATCTTGTTCTAAAGGTGATTCAGTAGAACTCACGTCTGGTTAACAACAGTCACTACCATCCACACACCGTAGTCGCAGCTACAGGAGCAATGTTGGGTTATGTGTCTTGCCCAAGGACACAACGACATGCGGGTTAGCAGAGCCTGGGATCGAACCGACAACCCTCTGATTGGAGGACGACCTGCTCCCCACTGACCCACAGTCGCCCCCAATGGACGACACAAGAGTCCCTAGTAGAGCACAACGGCGTAGATTCGGGTGTTCGGTTGCCAACTACCATGGGTAAGTTCATTTCAGTTGCATCACACTAAAACAAGTGCTAGGTACCAGATGCTAGCTGATGCTGTTTGTGAGACGTGTTAGCAGTGCTAATATGTGTTGAAACATGTGTACCTTCACATAGCTTGCGAGGAATTAAATCGACGATGAAAACAATGTAACAATGATGAAACGTAAGGCTAACCCGGGTCCCAATTGATAACCGTAGCTTTCGAAGCTAACGTGGGTGCCACTTGCTAGCTAGCCCTTAGCCTTTGAGAAACGTGTAGATCTTCCCGCTAACCTGCAAGGAATTCAATTTAGAATGAAAGTTACAAACGTAATAAAGTGTACATTACATAAACTGTACTTTCTACATTTGTTTTTGCACTATAGTTGAGTTTTTATGTTTCTTTGTCCATTTTTATGTGCAGGTAATTTCTTTGTGCACGTTATTACGCACGTATTTGCTGTAAAGCACTTTGAGCTGCATTCTTTTGCATGAAAGGTGCTCTATAAATAACGTTTTATTATTATTTGTGCTGTACCATCTTATAGATACTACAATGGACCCGGAAGAGACGCTGCTCGGAGGCTCATCTGGAACCTCCTCACTTACGTCAACCTTCTACTCCACTGCGTGCTACCTCCTCCGTTAGGTCGACTCTAGCTGCTCTCCACCACCTTCTGCTCCACTGCGTGCTACCTCCTCCGTTAGGTCGACTCTAGCTGCTCTCCACCACCTTCTACTCCACTGCGTGCTACCTCCTCCGTTAGGTCGACTCTAGCTGCTCTCCACCACCTTCTACTCCACTGCGTGCTACCTCCTCCGTTAGGTCGACTCTAGCTGCTCTCCACCACCTTCTACTCCACTGCGTGCTACCTCCTCCGTTAGGTCGACTCTAGCTGCTCTCCACCACCTTCTACTCCACTGCGTGCTACCTCCTCCGTTAGGTCGACTCTAGCTGCTCTCCACCACCTTCTACTCCACTGCGTGCTACAATCACCGATGATCTACCTCGTAAGTTCTGCAATATTATAACTGCATCAACATATGGG